CCTCTGATCTTTCTGTACCTTTGTACCTGTTGATCAAACTCTCCCTATACCCTCTCCCCCTACTCAGTGGGGGGTAACCACTATTCTATGCTTGGTTTCCATCAGATCAACCTCTTCAGATCCCACAGAAGAGTGAGATCATGCAGTATTGCTTTTCGTATGCCCAGCTTACTTTACTTAACCAAACAATCTCCATATTCTTCTGCGTTGCTTCAAATGACAGGATTCCATGCGTTTTAAGGCCTACCTAGCATACCATTGTGTATACACACTGCGTTTGCTTTACCCATTCATCAGTTGATGGCCACTTGGGTTATTTCCCTTTCTTGCAAAGTCCTTGCTGCAATGAATCTTGGAGTGCTCAGGACTCTTCAACATGCTGGTTTCATTTCTTTTGAATACATATACCCAGCAGTGAAATTGCTAGATTGCATGGTAGTCATGTTTATGATTTATTGAGGAATCTCCCTACTGTTTTCCATAGTAGCTATACATAATTTACATTTCCAACAACAGTGTATAAGAATTCCCCTTCCTCTTCATCCATGGCAGTGTTCATTATTTTTGGCCTGTCTGATCATAGCCATTTTAATTGGGGTGAAAGTTTATTGTGGTTTTGAACTGCTTTTCCCTTTGCATTAGTGATGCTGTATACTTTTTCATGTATCTGTCGGACATCTGAATATCTTCCTTTGAGAAATGTCTATTCAGGTTTTTGCTCATTTTTTATTTAGATCTTTTTTTCTTTCTCCCTTTTCCCTGCCCCTTGCTACCAAGTTGAGCTGCTATTGTATTTTAGGTAGTAACCCTTGCCATATGCACAGCTTTCAAACATTTTTTTCCCCATTCTATAGTTTGCCTTTCACTGCACTGATAGCTTTGGTGGCTGTACAAAAATTTTGTAGTTTTCCTATAAAAGGCAGCTAGGTTTGTGTACAGACACAGAAAATGTCATGTGAAGCAAGAGAGATGACACTTCTACAAGCCAAGGAACCGCCCGAACCTAGGGAGGAAGCCAGAAGCAGACACTTCCTCACAGCTTTCAGAAGAAACCAACCCTGCCAACACCTTGTCTCAGAACTGCACCCACCCAGCCGTGAGACCACACATTCCTGTTATTGGAACCACTCGGTTTGTGGTACATTGTTACAGCGGCCCCAGGAAACTGGTACGCCTCCAGAGATGAGCGCTGTTGGAACCATCGAGGAAAACAGCTCTGTGCAGACAGGAGGAGGCACTGCAGTGCCACAGAAAGGTGCCAGACATGGACCCACTGAAACTGCTTCTTCCCAGGCCACCAGCTCCGTGAGACGTGACCCTTTGAGGACTATGCTACCAACCTAGCTAGGAGTTAGATGTTTGCTGATTGAAATTTTTGGTGGCACTTTGAACATGTCAGCTTTCCTTTCTGGGACTGGTTTCTTTGACTATATAAAGAGGTTGTGATTCCCTCAACTCCCTCAGTTACAGTATTCTGTGGTTCTGACTGAATATACATATATTCAACCTGCTTGCTTGGGAAGCAAAAGGGAAAGGGAAGCTTCACTCTCCTTATCAATAGCCAGTCAACTGCAGTTGCTTGAGTCATTTAGTAGGGGGTAGGCCCAAGGCCTTGGGGATAATATGATAGGCTAGGGGGCTCTACATTGGGTCCTCTTTCTAGACTCTGAGGTCCTCCTGCCTTGGCATCTGCCTGTCTAGAAGATCACTGCCCCAAGGGTTGCTGAAGCTTTCTCATCTTTTCAGGAAGGTACTGCGCATGCCCTGGGCTGTCAAATTGGATATGCTTGGTACCCGATCAACGCAGGTTAGGCTGCTGTGTGCCTTTTAGAACCCTTCTGTCTCTGCTTTGGGAATTGGAGGAACATTGTCTTTCCAAGTTGCCACAGTATTTGGGGTGAACTACTTTTTGTGTTACTTTTGATGGATTCCAGCACGCCTCAGCCTCCACTATTAAGAACTTGAATCTAGTCAAAGAATATTTAAGTGTCCTCCCAATAGTCAACATCTCCCCCAACCCCCCACCCTCCAAAGACCAAACGCCTTTAAATTAAGCTTTTCTGGATCCAGGAAACAGATTCACACAGACCAGCTCAAGCCAGTCATCAAAGTAAGGGCGAGGAGGGTTGGAGTCCAGGACTTTACTGTAAAGTGATTGTAAGAGAGGTGGAATCTCCAAAAAATGTAAGACAAGAAGTTCCCCCAAATAATGAAGACCTTGATGGAACCTGGTACTGAAAGGCTGCCCCAGTCCTGGGGAGCCTCCTTGTAATGTCCTGCTGTTAATGTGACCCCACCACTCTCCAGGGCTCAACTTCTCTCTGCTTCTCTCCCCGTTCCTGCTCTCCTACTGTTTTCCAGAGAATGATTCTTGTAGGCCACCAGACAATTTATTATTAATCTACTCTGAATGATATAAAGAGAGAAATGGGAACTCAGATTCCAGGGAAAATAACCCATGTTTTCCAAGAAACCTAAGACCTAATAACTAAACTAAACTGGTTAAAGTTCTACCAACAAACGGTTGGATGGGTTCAGCCTCGCTGGACACTATCAGCTGGATGGCTTTAGACAAGTCCCTGCCTCCATTTCCTCATTTCTAAAATAGCATATTTGTATGTTCTTTCTCAGGTAGGGGGTAAGCACCAGGACCCTGCTGTCCACTCTGTCACTCTGGCCCAAGCGCTGGGTGACAGGAGATGGTCTCCTGCCTGTCCTGCCTCAGTTCCTTCATGGCCGAGACTTCTAAGCTAAGGGGCCCTTCTTCTTCATCCCTTCCAACCCTATATGGCTTTGCATGCTTCTACTCCCCTGGCTATCAAAGCCTATCTCCAACCCTGAGCCCACAAAAACTTTTCCTCCAAAGTCCCCGCATGTTTTTGTGCAAATGTCTGCTCCAGTCTGCTTTTATAATACAGGTCTATGTTCCCTCCTCGCAGGCTTATCTGTCCTGAGATGTGTTCTTTTCATGTATTATTGATCATTCATTGGCTGCTGCCACTCACTCTTTGATCTTCCCTTATCTTGGAAAGCCACCCACAGCATCTCCTGGCCCCAGTCTGTCTATTAAACAGTAATGATACGTAAACAGGCTCAGAGGTGCTCTGGGAGCAAAGGGACCCTGGGGCTGGCCTCCCTGAGCCTAGGGACTGTCATTCCTGAAGCTGTCTGTTCTGTAAGTTCTTCTGCCAAGTTTCTATGGGAGCAGAGGGATCATTTTCTCCCTTTTCAAAGAACAGGGTGAGGTGAGGCCTCAAGCTGGCAAGTCCTTTAAAGTTACTTTCAAAGGAAACCTGAGCTGAAAGGCCATGCGGCTGGCAGAGGGTGGTGTGACTTTCTGAAGCTCTCTCTGGGGTTTTGGGTGGTCAGCTGTCCTAGGCCTCCTAGCACGTGCTTGGAGCCTGCTGCACTGCCAGTGCCAAGGGAAGATACTGTCCAGCCGCTGGGCTCATGGGCACGGGAAAGGCTCCGCCTTGCCCCGCTCCCTGCTGCCACCCAGGAACAGGAAGGGGGTGTAGACTTTCTGCGCTGGGCCAGTTACCAGAACCACACTTGTCCTCCCTGTCCTCAGGCCCTGTCAATCAAACTTGATCCTTGGGGGTTTTTGAGGTAAACTACAGATGAGTGCCAAAACAAGCCACGGTCTGAGAACTTACGTGTGAGTCATGGGATCATGAATGGCCTAGTTAACACAATCGCCTCATGAACAGGTTGGGAAGGGGAACCAGAAAGAACATGGCTGCCCTGAGTCACACGGGAGGAGCTGACTGAGTTCTACCGCAGGGCCCTTTGGACAAAATACCTCCGCAGGGGTCAGAGTTTGCAGGGCCATTCCTAAAGCTTCTGAGGCTATAAGTGTCTGCCAGTCACCGGGAGCCTCCTGAACATCTCCAAAGGACCTGAAGGACCAGCACCTGAAAGCTGCAATTCGCGTCCAAGCCAAGGTCTCCGGAACACCAACCCCTCCTCTCAGAGTGTCTCCCCTAACAGTGAGAGCCAAGGAAGCCAGGCCCACTGGCAGCCCCACAGGAAAGACCTCCCGGACAAGCCGACTTTTCAAAGTTTTATTCTGATAATTGTACAGCTATATTTTACAACACGGTAATGCAGTTTAGACACAGCCAAACCCTGTCTCCGGAGTAGTTATAACACAAGCATGACGCAGAATGGATGGGATGAGACAGACACTCCCAAAGAGAGTTGAGTTCATGACAGCTTCAAGTCCCTGTTACTGCCTACACTTCAAAAAAGGGATGGCGCACTCTCGTCCACCGTTAAAAACTTCCGTGAAAAAAGGCACCGTGAGAACACATTGTACAGGTATATACAGACTGAAAACTAGAACAAAATTACACATTTCTCCTTCTTCAGCTTTTTTTGTTCTTTTCATTTTTTAATACACACTTTGTAAATTGTAAACCTTCACTTGCAAAAAAATACAAATACACTGAGGCATTTTAGACAAAATATTTTCTTACTTATACAGATGCAATACTTAAAATATTCTCTTAAGTGCTCTTTCTCAATAAAGATTCTCAGATCCGTGTCTGCCTGCAGATACAAAATCGAGCCTTTAACGCGGTTTTATATTTTAATATATCTTTTTTAGGTTTATATATATTTATATTATATATATATATATATTTATATATTTACAACTCTGCCAAATATTCCTTCACCTTTGGTTAAAAAAATTAAAGCCCTCTCTTTAATAACCTACCAGGTCCTGTCTTTTACAAGAATGCTCATTTACATACAAAAGAGACATCTGTTCCCACAAAACACATACATTCTGCAGCCCAAGTCAAGTCAGCGCTTTTGCACACTCCCCTGCTTTGATCTCTAAAATGAGTTTGCTTTTCACGGACGCGGTTCGCCGTACACACAGGGGAAGAAGCGGTGTTA